GTTTAACCGAAGCACTAATTACAACCGAAGATGGTTCCAGGATCAGTTATAGTAAATCTACCCCGTTAAACCGAATTTACTAATGAAACCTCGGATAACCCGATTTTTTAAGATTTTTTACTAATAGCACCGACCATTTCGGGTATAACGGGGTTGCCTTTGTATAAAATAGCACACTACGTGTTCTCAAACAAACTAACCATAATATCTATCCGAGTAAATGATTGCTTCACACCACTTCTCAATATCATGGGTTCGTTGTTGTTCGTAGGTTAATTTCTGAGGTTTCCTATGAGTTCATTACCCAATTGTCTTGCGCTTTATTAATTGCATTTTTCGTCCTTTTTTATTCGTCAAATGGACGCGAAGGAAAAGACAAGGATTGACAAATTAAAAAATTCTCACCAGCCTGGAGGTAATTGTTGTGGTTGCTGCTGCTGTTGCTGCTGTTGCTGCTGCTGCTGTTGCTGTTGTGGTGGTATTTGTTGAGGCTGAAGTTCTTGTTTATACTGTTGAGGTTGAACTTCCTGTTTATACTGTTGAGGTTGAGCTTCCTGTTTATACTGCTGGTATTGTTGTTGCGGAGGTCTTTGATTCTCTTTTTGTTCAAGATGCATTTTTTTAGCGAGAATTTTGTAAATTTGGAAAACTTAGATTTTGGGTGTTGGTGTGGTGTCGCGTCTTATGTTTTAATTATTTAATCATTCTATCACGTGGAATCGTTTCTTTTTTTATTTTTTTGTAAGCAAACTAGAAGATAATCAATCCCCTTTCTGGAAAATTAAGAATTTTGAGTTTAATAATTTATTTTTCTCGTCTTTTTCATTCAAAGTAATAAAAAGATCGAGGATTTTTCGAAAGCTCAGTTCATAAAAGAATTGAATTGAAATTTGGAGAAAGCAAGCCACCGATTGTTCGATAATCTTTAAAAAACATGCGACATAAAATTCGCGAATTAGTGTAAAACATATATAACAATAATTTACAATGGATCATTTCCTTTTTAGTATACAGTGGCAAATTGCATGACGCAAGTATCACGGAATAATATAAAAAAGTGGACAAAACTTGCTATCACACTTTGATTAGCAAAGTTGGTCCACAATAAGCTTCAAAACCGTTTCGTTTTAAGAATGAAAAGGTACCTGGATGAAGAAAAACTCTATATACACGGTCCTTCCGAGCATATATCTTGACTATTCTTACACATGTTATCCTGGCAGCTAACATAAACTTTATTAAGTCGAATATTTCAACCAACTTTAAAGCGACAGTAATTATCTTGTTTCTCACAAAAAATTTACTTAGGAAGGACCATTTTCGAATGTTCCTTGATGAATTGCAACTGTAAATTTGCAACAAATATTTACGCCGGATCTGGATTTTGACCATCATAACATTTTACATGACCACCAATATCATTTCGTGCTGG